TGGAGTGCAGCAGGATTTTTACAGCTAAGGATAATCGCTCCAACTTGTTCCATAATATCCCTGCCCCAAAGATTCACGGGGAGATCTGGAATAATATAGGGGCGGACGAGGCCAACATTACGGTCCTCATCTTGCCAAACCAATTTGTGAGCACTAATCAAGACCTTTTTAACGGACCCAGCCACCCCGGAAATATGATCGGAGGAGGAGATAGTTGGCCATTCGGGGGGCCATTGGGTTGAGGCAATACAGGTGGTATCGGCTCCAGAGTCGATTAACCCTTCAAAGTGTCTACCTTGCAAAGTAAGAACGAGTTTAGGGCGGGTTTGGTTGATGGCACGGACCCAAAACACCTCCGAAGATCCAGGGGAAGTGGCCCCACGCTCTGGGGACAAAGCAGGGAACTGGACATTCATGGGGAGCAGCAGTGCTTGTGCAATGCGTTGGCCAGGTAAGATCTGTACCGGAAAAAAGGGAGCCATTGCCAGAAGGATAATCTCTCCAGTGTAGTCGTTATCCACAAGGGAGGGTTGTACAATAAGGCCTTTAATGGTGTCTTATCTGGTCTTGAATGTCAAGCAATTGAGATTTACATATTAAAATGCTTTGATAGCCAATGACTTAGAAAAGTATAAAAGGATTAGGAGCTTTTCAAAGAAGCATATTTTAATGTGAAAATAGAACCTCAAGTATCTACTGGTTATAAAATTTTAATTTTAATTGTTAAAGAAGTTATACATATATATCAAAGGATATTTGGTAGCTATATATTTTTAAATTATTATACCACATAAAATATAATTGTATCACCTGAAATTGGCATAATTAATTGTACAGTTATGGTGTTTTACTTTGTCTATGTAATTGGTTAACCCAAAGAATATTTATTTAGGACCTGCCATGTTATGGTAGCTTTCTAATAGTAGCACTTGTGGTTTTAAGTCTTAAATTCACTTTCTCCTCTGCCATTTTGATTACTTTTATCTCACCTGATCAAAGACTCTGGAATTAAAATGAATACTTAATTGTAAATTAAGCATACTATGTTTCTGTGAAACTGTCACACTGCACATACTCGCCACAGTTTTAAATTATCTTTAAAAATTT